GGTCAAAGTAATAATACATAATCACAATTGGCATCCTCAAAACATTTGGTCAAATAAATAACCTAATAGTTCTGTTTAAAGTATATAGCTGCTGATGCATCCCTTTGGGATAGCTTCAACGGCTATTTCTATTTAAGGAATGCATATAAACACAGGCTGGTGTGCACTGGTCGGCTTTGAGTCTGTTGTTATCACGGTATAAAAAAGTTTGGTTAGAAAGTATTTAATATGCTGCAAATGCTGCAGCTTTTTATGCTATTTATTATTCATTTAGGCTACGAGTCAGAGTGCACTTTTGCGAATTTAGTTAATCTACTGATAACTTGCAGGTTGCTTTTACCCATCAGCAGCCAATCGATTAGTTGACAAGTAGGAAGTACTTCAGTTAATCAAGATTTTTTCTTTTTTTGGTCGGCTTCAGGCATAGTACATTTGATACTTTATAATTCAAGGACACATTGATGTCTGGTGTTTTTTTACTAATGGTCATGTTCCCATTTCTTTTTTGCAGGTTCCTCTACTGACTGTTAACTCTTGCTAGAATGTGGAAGAGCGAGAAGAGCGCAGGTCCCACTCCCAACAGAAGATGTACAGTACTGCAACCCACCTTCCTCTTCTCACCTATCTCTTCTTATTTTCTGCTTGTTCATGTTCCACCAATTTAAATAATAATAAAGTGGTCTATCCACCTCCATCTTCTGCAAACATTGATAGGTGCAGCAGCACATTGATGCTGTGTCAGAGGAACAATATTATTTTAATCCTAAATACCAAAACCAAGCAAAAGTGCGTTATATGTCTCAGGATAAACACCCATAGGTGTTTCTCTATTGTGTAATAAGGGCAAAAAGAATAACGGATATAATAACAAAGAGGAAACTCATGTACCACGTACATTGGTTGAACTAGAACAAGCAACATTCAATACAATTGTGTCTTATCATACTATTTCGCATTGATAATCTGTAATCAAATCCTACTCAGGCTTTGAGGTGAGCAGCAAATCCATTTAATTTGCACATACAGTAAAACTGTGGCCAAGTTCATCAAAAAAAGTGTCGGAAAATGAGTTTACAATTATCCTGCCAAAACATAACATATTGCTGGAGTCAACAAACGATGCTGCCGTGTAGAAAAGCACTCCATGTTGTAAACACTGACGGATGGCGATGTTGAGACAGTGGCTTTAAACACTTTAAAACATGAAGTGGTTGCTGTGACAGCAAAGTGAATAATGCTCGGGCTTCAACAGGACTTTATGGGGGAACATTTTGAAATATTACCAAGTTAGAAACACAAATTAAAAGTTTAGTCCTTTCACATTTATTGTATGTACTGTACATAATGAATGCCTGACTACGACCATATTATTTATATTCATAGTAAAAAGGTATAAAAAGTGTTCTTCCTTCCTTTGGAATTGTCGGTTATAATATATTTTAATCTCATTATATTGAAGATGTGACATAAACATTGGAACATGTATTTTAACAATGTATGCAGCAATAATCTATATTTTTAGGATAATGTAACAAATTACGTAAAAAACTGTGATAATGTAAAATAGGGTTTGCTTGTACTGTATGGATTCATTTACAGTTCATTTTCACATGAATCTTTAGCTCCTCATGCTTGAGCCTGGCAAAAAAAGCTCAAACATGGTTTAATTGACCATAAATTCAATGTTTTGGTTCAATCTCAATGTCATAGCATTGTTTTCGGCTGCAGGTTTTTTTTAGGAAGCGTGTTTCAGTGAAATAGATTTACACTAACCACTTATCAGCAGACAGACACGGTTAAAGACTGTCTGCAGCTGGTGAACATAGTGGAGCATTGACTGTATCAGCTAAAATACATATTTTCTTAAGTAGTTAGTGGAGATCAAAAACAGAGCTGAGTTGGATTAAACATTCAGTAGGTGACTTATGTTGATGATAGTGTTGCTATGTAATGGCTGGATCTTTAAATAATACACAGTTTGCTAGCAAATTAAATCTTAAAAAGGTAATAAATGTCAATGTTGTGTTCAAAAATGGTTTCCACTGCCCCCTAGTGGCCACAAAAAACTTGTTTGCAGGTTTAGAGAAAATATAATAGAAGATATTATAGCAAGACAGTTGACATGGCATTTGTAAAAGATGAAAGTAGAAAATATTCACACAATGTTGATCTCTATTTACTCATAAAATTAATGAGGACTATGCGAGTTGGAGTTTGCCCAACTGACAGGCACTTCAAAAGCCAGTTGACTATAAAAGGTCTTCTCTCTCCGGCTTCAGTGATAAACTGAGGATGAGGAGAAAACATCCCTAGATTAAGGTTTCCTGCCTGCTGCCCTTTACCTCGACCTCTCCGTGCTGCAGTTTATTCAGGCCTCTATGAGCTTTCCTTTTTCCACACCATGCCTGACTGGGTCACTTCCAGCCTCTACGCCCACTCTGTATTTCAGTCTCTCACTCCATTACTCCTCTCCCTGTCTCTTCTCTATCAAGCTATCAATCACATTCACCGAAAACTAAAAAAAAGGCTAATAAACGCTTCACCTGGGTTTGATCATCACCAACATTTCTGCATATATTGAAAAATGCCTTCAGGTCGAAGCCTGTAATTTCACAGAGGCAGATAATAACAAACAGTTTCCGTTGGACACGTACTGTGTATATTTACTTACCACTTAATGTCCTGCAGCAACAGCATAGCATGCATCATGTTCTTCTAACTGATACTGTGTCATTTCTTCCAGGTTTCTCCCTCGTTCACCAATATATCCAGCGTTTTAATGAGGTGTCTGGCAACAAGACAGGTACAATTTTAAAAAGCTGTTTTATTTTGAGGTCTCCATGCACATCATTGAGCATTTTAAATCCATTGTTATGAATAATGGAATGAATATTGAAGGATGCATTAGGTAATATTGAATAGTGTGTCAGCTTGTGGCGTGTCATGCCTTTATGTTGATAATAATCAAATATGTATTTACTATCTAGTGAAATCAGTGACCCTCAGTTGCACGTGTGACAGGGTGCAGCTTCTCCTATTTTAGTCTTTGTCATAATAATCGTTAATCCCTGGATTCATGTTGTTCTTTATCGACTCCTGTGTGATCCTCTATCTTTGCACATCCACAGCCAGATAAGGAAAATGTTCAGCTGCAGTGCCAGAGGATCACAGTGAGGATTTCATGCACTGTATTTATTTAACCTTGTGGGCAGTGTATTCAATAAGCATACTAGAATACTAGACAGCATAATAATGAACTACTATTTATATAATTGATTATCCTTTTGAGAATAATTCATTGTTATTTGCAACATCCCATACTTTAACTTCTCCAGTGTCATCATCTGCTGGTTTATATTTTACATTGTAAGAGAAATATCTTTGATTTTGGACCTCTTTGAAACCTTACAAACAATCAAGATATAACTGGCAGATTAAATTGTTATGAAAATAATTGCCAATTGCACTCCTTTTGTGTAAATATATACAATAACTACTTTATAGAATGAGAATATACACAATGTTCGACATATGATAAAAGCACATCAAGAAAAAGCTCCTACACTACATCTCTGTCGTAAAAGGTTGCAACCTTGTACATGTACAATTAAAACGAGCACCCTTACTGTAAATATGTGTTCATTTGCAGAAATACAACATTCAATTGTGTTAAATCTTATTTTTGTACACATCATATATAGTATAGCAGAGGTTTAGAGCAACTTTTGCCTCATTTCGTTTATTTAATTAGCGCTGACATTACATTTCACAATTAACAAAAGCTTCTAAGGAGGCAAAAAACCCAAAGCAATTAACACATATTCAAGATTACAGTTAAAGTATATAGCATGACAATCCTAACTGATAGTGAGCAATAAGCAGGGACAACTGTTACAGACGGAGCATCACTGGGAATTTGTTTGACATTCCTGACATCTGCTGGCGGCAGAAAATAAATCTGTATATCTCTACCCAAAGCTACTGTGATTTTGTTTTGAATGTCAGGTTGTAAAGAAGGCTACAATGCTAATTATTTAATGTTTCTATTTCTTATTATTTTCGCTGGTTTAGCTGTCATCCGGAGAAGATCCAAGACCCCCGGAGTAATAATCACACAGTATGTAGTAGACATACCAGAGGGGAAAAGCACGCCAGATTTCGAAAGCAAACCAACCCCATTGGATATCAAGGAAGGTGGGTTTCATAATAACAGAGCACTACAACTGATATATTTATGCAATTACACAGTTACTTTAAAGAGGTGCATGACAATAAAGGACTGTTAATGATTAAAGAAACTAATAGCATCGTCTCTCTGACTGAAACTAAAAGTCATAAATGGTAAAATAATAGTTTTTCCATGTGTTCTTCAGGAAATATAGCGGTGTTCAAGGTTGTCGCGACAGGGGATCCTAAACCAGAGGTGTCATGGAGAAGAACCAAAGGGCCTATTACAGACAAGAACAAGTTTCTGAGTAGCTATGATGAATCAACTGGAGAGCATATTTTAGAGGTGAGTGACTTAAACATCCTTGAAGTGGTTACTGCTCATACAGAGGATTGAACATCACAGTCAAATGGTAGGAACAGGAACATCTGTATCAAGACATGCAAGTTCAATATTTGCATCTGATCATTTCAATTTGTATATCTAGATATTCAAAGTGTCCCGTGAGGAAGCAGATACATACAAATGCAATGCTTCGAACGAATATGGCAAAGCGGTCTGCTCAACAACGTTAAATCTGGTTGATGGTAAGAGTTTAAATCTAAACACTTCCAAACATAATTGTGAATATTGGTTTGATTGCAGGAAGTCATAAAGCCTGTAGCTGGCATTTTAATTGTTTTTTAATATTGAAAGAAAAAGTATCCAATGTTCAGTAAGCCTGTCATAGCTTTATCTGACCTTAAATGTACACAATATAGTTTTAAAGATGAACAAACCAGAGCTGACTTTGATGCTTTCAGATTCAAAACATCCATCTGACTTCAGAAAAATGCTGCGGAAAAGGTAAGAAATCCCGATGATATCAAACGAGATATTTCTGCATACTGTATGTTTAAATGTTATCACTTGTTAGTGGCATAGCAGAAACATATCTCTATGTTTGCCTGATACCTTTAGCAAAGTAGATGAAAAAGGAGACGGGGAAAGTGATGAAAGATTCTGGGACACGATGCTGAAAGCTGACAGGAACGACTACGAGCGCATCTGTAATGAGTTTGGTGTTACAGACATACATTCGGTTCTGAAGAAGCTGAAAGAGAGGAAGGAGAGGGTGCAAAAGAAGAGTAAGGTATGCAAACTGCTGTCAAAGAAGATACATTATCTCCAGCTAAATCATCAGTACAGCTACTAACTAACTATGATGGATTTGTCAGAATTTCACAGAAGACGCGACTAAACTCATATTCATGCTGAGATGTTGTGATAACACATTGTTGTGATGACTTCAAATGCAGTTATCAGTTAAAATCAGCCTAAGAACTACAGTTTAAATATTTACTTGTGAAAATGTATCGTGCATTTTTACTGCTCACTTCCTCTCATTAATTCTGACTCCCTCACTCCCATCTTAATCAGATGTTGCCCTCTCTTGTCAGGATGAGCAAACAGGTGTCATTATGTGCTTTGCTTCATTAAAGCTTAATATTGAGCTTCAATATGCATAGAAAGACAGATCAAGATCTCTTAACCTGTGGAGCTCTTTCAGAGTATTACACCGACTGTAGTCACCCCTTGTTCGCTATATAGTGAATTACAATTACCCTCCATCATTTTATCAAAAATGAAAATAATTAAGAGTACTGATTCAAAACAATAACAAACTAATTAAATTAATGAGTTTCCACATTCAGCATTAAAAGGTGTATAATGTTTGTCCTGTTACTCCTCTGTGTTCTTGGTAGGATGGCGTGATTCCCTATAATGAAGATGCTACAGAGAAACCCAGCCTTAAGGGTGCTGAGAGGACAAATGGTTTTAATGCAAACGGCCCAATGCAGAAGGGCACAGGGCTCCAACAGGTGGACGGACAGGTCTACCTTTCAGACAGAGGACTGAGTCTCGTCGACGGACAGGTCTACCTTTCCAACACAGGACTGAGTCTAGCGGATGGACGGGTCTACCTTTCCCAAACAATAAATAATCTGGTGGATGAAGAGGTCAAGCTTCTCTATTCAGAGTTCACACGTAGGTTCAAGAAAAGGGTTTGGATAGAAACTGCTGTCCATGTGTATGCAATATAAGAAAATCTAAAGTTACGTTAAGGCCCATTACGTATTAAAAGGAGTAAAGGTTCAAGGTTCAAGTTCAAGGCTTTTATTTATCATACGTGCATAGCTACAGTGTAGTTATGTCGATGAAAATCTTAGGTCACAGGCTCCTCCAACAGTGCAACACAATAAAACAGAAAAAATAGTGCAAGTAAATACAAAATTAAAATAGTGAAAAGTTATCGATGTCATTCCTTACTGAATCCCATAAATGATGGGAAAGGGGACCAAAGTTGGGCTCGGTTTTAATAAATGTATTTGGGTGGGTCTATGCACCTCTCATGGTAATGGTTACAAGCTGTGTGTACCCGACTGAATAGATGGTTGGTTCACTGACTTTTTTTTTTTTTTTTTACAGTTTCCAATGTGGACTTTGTTATAAAAATTCAGGAGCTTAAAGTTCAAGAAAGAGAAGATGCCCTCTTTGCGTGTGTCCTGACTCACCCACTGCCCAGGATCTCATGGATGGGCAAAGGCAGCGCCCTGCAGGACGGAGAGAAATACAACATCAGCGTGTCGGACCATAAACTGATCCACCGGCTGCTGATCAGAGACTGCAGCCAGCAGGACAGCGGCATCTACTCAGCTGTGGCCGGCATTACGTCCTGCAGTGCCTGGCTGGTTGTTCAAGGTAACACCTTTGCTCCAATATCCAATTTGTCAATGTGTACTGATGAATGATCCTATGCTGCCATAATTATGTCCTGTTTGTTTTATTTCATATCATCCAAGCTGAGGGTGACCCTGCATCTGCTGAGAGAGCCAGTAAAACCACCTTGGCTGGAGGAGCACCAATCGACCTTGAGAAAGTGGCCAGAGAGCAACAAATTAAAAACCAAGAGGAGGTGGAGAAGATTTTAGCAGCCGTGAAAGCAAAACACGGAGAAGGAGCCCTGAAAGGAGGAAGGATATTAACAACTGGAAGAGACGGCGAAATAACTACGATCAATGGACTGGGTCAGAACAGCAGAGCAGGAACTGAAGAGCATAATGCCACAACCACCAGTGCTCTGTCTGAGCCAAAAAGGAAAGGGCACAAAGGGAAGGCAAAGAAAAAGAAATCAAGGAGAGATACAGCCGAAACAACATTAGATGCTTCAGGGGGTGAAACACGAGAAGGAACCCAACTGATAGATGGCCCCAAGAAAAAGAAACACAGCAGATCTGGTCAAGCGGATTTTGACAAGGTAACAGGTAAAGTCGATCTATGCCTAACAATGCATTTTCACCAGCTTCTACACTTGTTCTATTTAAAAGAGAAGTTTAAGAATGGATTAGTTTAAAACATGATTGGATGTCAGCTTTAGGAAGACTTTTGGCCTTTAGTGCTTGGGTAAAGTGTATCATACTCAGAAGAGGCCTTTTAGCTCACTGTCAAGTTATATGATCTTGCAATAAATTACCAGCTGTTTATCTCCTAATGCAGATGAAAATAAAGAGTCCTCTCCTGGGTCTATCAGACGTACAAAGAGCAAGAAGAAGGTCACGAGGAAACAAAAAGCATCTGGTAAGAACCAACAGGGAACACATTTTTTATCTAATAATTCAACATCTATAAATTCAATATCACACTCGGTTTTGTGTGAAGGCTATAACATATAATTGTTCTCCTTGGTGTGAACTCTGTGAGATTGTCTAGTCTTTGTTCCTCTGCTTCTAGACCAAGATCCAAATGGATTAGGAAATAACGACAAAACAACAGATAATGAAGCAATTGGCGATGATGCAGAAATTGACGATTCAGAAAGTAACGATTCAGAAAGTAACGATTCAGAAAGTAACGATTCAGAAAGCTACGACTCTGAAAGTTACGACTCTGAAAGTTACGACTCTGAAAGTTGCGATGCTAAAAGTGACAATGCAAGAAGTGGCAATGCAAGAAGAGACCATTCAAGAAGTGGCAATGCAAGAAGAGATGATGCAGAAGAAGACAATGCAGAGAGCAACATTGATGGGAATAACAACGCCTCCGTTCAGCTCAAGCATTCAAGGCGTTCAAAGCGAAGCAAACGGCAAAAGAAATCCATCAATGGTAAGACATTACTGCATGGAGGTAAAGTATAAGACAATGGCCAGAAAACATGTTTGGATCTTATGCACCCTGAAGCAGTTTTATAATGTTCCAAAACATTTTCTTTAATTAATGGAAGATGAGGCAGTGATTACTGTGTATAGTTTTGTTTTGTAGTGTATAGGCAGAAATAGTTGTTTTAGCTATATTGGCATTATTTGCTTTCTGTTTTCCAGTATACCAACATACTGTTTTTTGTAACAAGGTCTGAGTACATGTCCTGAAGGCCTCAATGAGAGGGAAGAAACTGAAGGTGGAAATGGCACTGCCAAACGTTCAAGGCGTAAAAGAAAAGGCCCACTGATAGAAGACGTGGTGATTGGTAAGTAACCTCAAAGGTGTCATGTCTAAATCATAGGATAAGGGCTCCATCTGGATGCATCTGCGTCTGTTAATCTGGTTATCAAATAAGTAGTTCATTTACCAATATTTTCAGTGCCTTTCAGTTTACATGACTCAAATGATCAAAATGATCTTAGTGCCTAACTGTTCCCTGCTGTGTGTGTTAGATCCAGGGGTTCATTTCATCTGTGGTTTGTCTGATGTCAATGCCATCATCAATGAGACTGCTGAGCTAACATGTAAGCTCAGCAGTGAGGACTGTGAGGGAGCCTGGTTCAGAGACGAGAAAAAGGTCAGTCATAAAGGTCAAACTCATCATACCGTGTCAGTGTCCGAGAACAAAATCTTAACTCTTCAAGGACAGATAATGCATGGTTGCTTACCAATCTCAACACCTGTGGTTAACTTCCCTTTCATTTTCTGCTGTATAAGGGGAATGTGTGAATAAGTGACGTATTCATCATTGGTAGCGTTACTGACTTAAAATCAGAAGGCCATCTTTGTTATTTGTCAAAAGGACAATCTAAAAAAATAAACACTCTTGCTGCACCGCTGATGAAGCCAGCAAGTGCTTGCCGGATACGGAAATTCTTCAGATGAAAATTATATTAGCCATACATCGTTAAATGACCCGAAAACTAATATTCCAAAATTGCATTGTTGATTTTTCCCAAAATATTAGGTAGTTTAGATACTTTAAGCCTACTTAGAATACAGAGGCGGACAGAGTCATTTTAGACATGGAGTGTTGCTTATTAGGATAACTCATTATAACTATCATTACTTATTGTTGATTGATTTGTTTATTTTCATCTGTCTGCTCCTTCTCGTTTTAAGATATCTCCAGATGACAATTTCAGTGTCATTAAAGATGGTACGATCCATAAATTAGTCATAATCAGGTGCGAGGAAGAGCACACTGGGAAATACCGCTTTGAGGCAGACCATCGTAAAACAGAGGCTATGATCAACGTTAAAGGTTTGACAGTCCGTCATGAAAATAAGAAACTGATTTTATGTTGTATAACTGGAAGGTTAAATATATACATTTACAGAAAAGGTCAGAATCAGGTCTCAGATAAATACGACTGAAATGTCTGACTGACCCATTTTTGTAGATCCCCCAAGGTTTGACCCTGAAGACCTCGAGGCTTTTACTGAGCCTGTGACGGTGAAAGTGGGGCACAATGCAATCTTCAAACTGCAATTTGTTGGCCACGAACCCATCAAGATTAAGTGGTACAAAGAGGGAGAAGAGCTTCTAGATGACAACACCACAAAGATAGAGAAATCTGCAAGTCACAGCCGCTTGCTGCTGAGCAGGTGCCAGAGGAAGGACACGGGAGAGATCAAGATTAAGCTCAAGAACGAACACGGCTTCATCGAGGCAATTTCCCAGTTAATTGTTCTCGGTGAGTGAATGATGCAGGAATTCAATACAGAGAAATCAATTTATCACCCACAGATTTTAATCTTAGGCTCTTCATAGCACAACAATACAAATGTCAGAGCACTTCAAATAAATAATTAACTCAAACGTTCAACTCCTTCAAGAAAAACATATTCTTAACAGACGCTAAGGGATTTGATTTGTGCAGCAAGCATTGTAGCACAGAGTAATTTGCTCTTGTAAGATCAAACGCAAACAGTAGTGTCATAAAATGCTTCATTGCTCATTCGCATAATTAGAAAAATAATCAAGTCAGTCTTTTTTCTATCTGGTGAAAGGGAGCCACATTTCACTGAGCCCGTCTGTGCCTGGACAGATGGAGGTATTTGCTTTCAAACTGCAGCTCTGTAATACAACTGAGAGGAGAAAGCAAAGCTGAATCTCGGTTGGTGGTAATGTGACAGGTTAAAGATGTGTTTTGGAAATATATTCAGCTCTTTACAAAAGTTATTAAGTTCAAGCCTATGCTACGTCTGCCATCGCCGCAAGCCTTACACCTGTCAAATCTTAAAATAATTGTCTCTCAAGGAAAATGCCATTTCTCTATTTTAAATGCAGAATTCATTGTCACAGGTATAAAGAAGTAAGGAAAGGTTTCAAGCTCTAACAAGTACTTTATTTGATGTTTCAGACAAACCCACTCCCCCCCTGGGCCCTGCAGAGGTAACAGAGAGCTCAGCTAAATGTATTGCGTTTAGGTGGAGGCCTCCAAAGGATGTTGGAGGTTCACCAGTGACCAACTACATAATGGAGCGACAGCAGGTGGGACGAAACACATGGAAGAAATTAGCGGAAATCCCTGGGGTGGTCAGCTACTGTGACACAGATGTAGACCATGGACGGAAATATTGTTACCGTATCCGGGGCAGTGACGGCAGAGGGTACAAGTGAAGTGATGGAGACTGATGAAATGCAAGCCGGCACACTAGGTGAGCCAAATTAATACCTCCGAGATGTCTGTCGGATCAGTTTGACCCACCTACTAATCTATCATCTTAAGAACAGGGATGCAGATGATAAAAGGACCCTTTCCATTTTTTTGTTCAATGCCTGTTAACTATACTTGAATATTTATTAGCAAATAACAAGAAACTTAAAAAATCAAGACTAAGCCAATTGACAAACATATCAAATCAAAAAGTGGCATCTTTTTTTCTCTCCAGATCTGAAAAAAGTCCACTATCTTGAACAGGTTTTCAATGCATGTCCATGAATATGTAAAAGACAGGAAGTCTCAAATAAGCATCCTGATAGCACAACAGCAAACTACAAAAAAACGCTGTCAAAACAAACACATGCAGGTTATTTACAGCACAGCGGCTGCCAGACACAAACAAAGAAACATGATACAAGCACACACAAAAAAAACGTGCACTTACTTATTGAAGTCTGCTTGAAGAAAACTCCATCCACCAGCACTTCCTTCATGGAGTCAAAGTGTTGAAGAAGTTTTCCAGTCAGGCCCAACAGTGAACAGAAACGTTGACAGTCTCATCCATGGTCGCAATCCACTTATCCCCTCAAGTTGTTGCTGTTGGAAACCAGTAACATTGGGGTTAGATAGCGAGAGAACTGTATTGCAGATGACACACATCTAATCATTAATCTATCAGTTTATCAGCAGATCAACAACACCGGTTTGGGTCTACCCCTGTTTATGTCTCTTAAAAAACTCTGGGGTAGATAACTTCTGCAGCTAAATGTCTCTATTAAATGATTGAATTATATCTGTATGGGAATTATTGTGATCAATTATTAACATTGCATTAATGTCCACTGATTGATGAAGAACGTTGTTTATTGAGAAAAACTAAACCAATAGCATTTTACCGTTTGTTTACATAACACTAAAGCCTACTACAGACCTTGATAACCAAAGAAACTAACAAAACAAAGAGTAAAATCGTGAGGAACTTCCTACTTACGCCTTTCATGTAAAAGCCGTTGTTATATTTCAGACTTTAGCACTTTACTTTACACAATTAACTAGTTAGCTACACAGCTAAGTTAGCTAAGCATCCTTCAGTATCAAGGCAAACCTTCAGAAACGCTCCAAGTGGTTTAACAACACTTACAACAATTTTGAAGAGGTTTCCAGATTCTTCAAACAAGTTTATATCCACTTCAAATGTTTTTCATCCGTCTGCTGATCAGTGAAGAAGATTTCCAACTCATTTTTCAAATTGACTCAAATGCCCCAAACTGTTTGGCTGCGGGTCCCCTTTCCCTCAGGCAGGTGTGGCCTGTGCCAATTAAGGGTGTATGCACCAAGAAAACAAGATAACTGCAATAAATATTATAAGAAATAAGAAAAAAACGTTATTTAGAAATGTCTCACTAAGCCATGACAGTATGCCAGTCACCAGGAGTTCAACCATCATTAATTTAATCAGTGACTCACACCTGTACTTTTCATGCAGCGATATGTCAAAAATACTTATTTGATCATCATACAATTCAGTTTCATTACCGCCCCCTGCTGCTCTTCTTTATCATTGCATCAGTGATCAGTCACTTGTTTTTATTTCGATCAAGAGCCCAAAACCCCCAAACATTGTTTTTTTCTGTTACAATGATATGAGATAACAAGTTCACATTATTACAATTGAGAAATACAACATCATTTACACGTTTTAGCTTAATAAATTACTCCATTAATGCATCAATTATCATTTAATTAGTTGATTAATTTTCTTTCACTCACTGAGAGGCTGAACATTTCAGGACAGTGCTAATGTAAGATTAACAATAACAATAATTTACTGCACAGTTATAAAAGCAAGGTAGAGTGTTAATCAAGAGGAAACACAGGACAGACCTTTGATGTCAGAGCAGTTTTTTTTCTTTGAACACGACCAGATTATAACTTCATTTCCATCAATACAGCATTGCTATTAAACTGAAGAGTCACACAACTGTAAAAATAGCTCTGACTACATAATTTACCAATTTATCTCTGCATGTTTCAGCTTTTCCTGGCCCTCCAGCGCCTCCAAAGGTGGTCAGTGCCTCTGACGACTGCATTAATATTTCTTGGGCTGCCCCAAATAAAACAGGAGGCTCGCGTATCCTGGGCTATATTTTGGAGAAACGCAAAAAAGGGAGTAATCTCTGGACTGTTGTCAATGCCATGGATGAATTTATAAAAGGTTTGTCCTTTTTATTTGATTGTAGTTTAATCCTGCAATGAAGACCATAAGACTGAGCTTTTGTGGTTTTTAATTCTCTGATTTAGAAAAGAAATATGCAGTGAAAGATGTCGTGGTAGGGATGGAGTATGAATTCAGAGTCTCTGCCATAAACCTTTCTGGAGTTGGAGAATACAGCAACGCATCGAGCTTTGTTTTTGCACGGGATCCAAAGGGTGAGCAACTTTTTTTCAAATGCTTAGAAATAAACAATAGATTGCACAATTTATATATTCATGAACAGATTCTAAATGCATATGAAATCAATAACATTTGCCTAATAATGTCAAGCATTTTATTTGTATTGACGTTGAAAAGGATCATATTTATTAGACTTATAAAATGTCAGATCAGAAAATAAATACCTAAATCTTAAACATCTGATATTTGTAATTGCATAATCTTTATTGTTGTGTACCCCAGAGCCTCCTGGTAAAGTGATAGGCCTGAAGGTGACAGAGACTTCTTACATCCACTTTGTCCTGACCTGGACCAAACCTGAGGATAAACCTGGGGAACAGGATGAAGCAAAGGGATATTTTGTTGAGATTCGTCCTGCAGATTGCATTGAATGGTCCCGCTGTAATACCACCCTCATCATCACCACTTCCTTCAGTGTGAAAGGCCTCAAGCACATGGAGATGTACTGGGTGAGAGTGATTGCGTTTAATGATGGAGGAAATGGTGCAGCAGAGGAGCTGCCCAACTATGTCCTCGCAATGCCATCACCTGGTATGTTAATGCTTGTCGGAATATGTTGTTGGTTTGCAGCTAACATTTTGCAGAAAGTTAACAAGGGGAAGTTTGGGGACTGAAATCTACTTTATATTCTGTTTCTTTACTGTCCCATAGCTCTTAGTACATAATGTGTAATGCTTCTCTACATGATCAGTATGGTGTTGGATGTTTACAGAAATATTTTCAGGGAACTGACCTTCCATTTCTCACTCTTTAAAACAAACCTCATGAAGTTAAACATTGTCCAAAGCACTTTTCATTGTTTGTGCTCATTCTTCCAGTGAGGCCAAAGTTCACGAACCACAAAATGAAGAGTTTCATGGTGGTGAAGGCGGGGAACTCTGTCAGGATCACAGTGCACTTTGAGGTGACATTTATACGTTAGCTTCATTATTGACAACACACTGAGGACAACTGGTTCTGCTAAACTAATCAGGAGGAAAACCCTGAGGATACATTCAGGCCTGAAACATTGCATTGCTAATGTTCTTTTCCACAGGCCTCTCCACGCCCGACTATTACATGGGTGAAGGACAATGTGCCAGTGTCAAAGAGAGTTACAGTCAGTAACTCTGACGGCTCGTCCCAGCTGCTGATCCCTTCCTCTGAGCGCTCTGATTCTGGCATCTACTCCATTCTGGTGAAAAATATGGCAGGACAGGAGACATTCAGTACAGAGGTCAGGGTCACAGGTAAAACTAAAACAATAACAATGTATATTTTCTATATCAATTAAGTGTTAATGAATGAAACACTAAAACTGATTGTGGTTACAGATGATCCGAAGCCCCCTGGTACGGTAGAGATGGATGAAAATGTGCCCGGCACAGTGACAGTGATGTGGGAACCGTCTCCTGATGAGAAGCGTGATGACCGCCTCCACTACACAGTGTCAAAACTGGACTCCACTAAACGCACATGGACCATAGTGGCTGACAGACTCTTCAATAACAGGTTCACAGTATGCAACATCATGCACGGGAGGGAATATCATTTCCGGGTGTATGCCAAAAACGACATGGGCATCTCTGCACCGTCAGAGTCACCAACCTGTAGGAGGGAGAAGAAGAAAGGTAAGTTGGTAAGAAAATCTTAATATTCACAGGGAACATCCTAACTTTTTGTAATTTCTTGCAGAGAAATTCATGGTGTATATACCGACCATTAAGGACTGTGATTTGCGATGTGCTCCAACCTTCATTGTACCGTTGAAGTTTCACACTGCACCAAAAGGCTATGAGTGCTACATGAGCTGTGCAGTGAAGGGAAACCCCCCACCTCGTATCACCTGGTATCGGAATCACATCAGCCTGAACACTAATACCAACTATTACATCTCCAACACGTGTGGAGTTTGCTCCATGTGTATTCTCCGTGTAAGCCCCAAAGACATGGGGGAGTACACCATCTCTGCAGAGAACGCCCTGGGACGGGATGAGTGCTCCACCACCCTCAGTGTCAGAGGTGAGAGAGACACTTTATTTCAAAGGATAGGTGAATTAAAGAACATACTCAATGATGCTAAACAATTTCTCTCTTTCTTACAGAGTGAAGACACTAAAGGCCCCACAATATGAGCAGTGTTTATTTTAAAGTTTAGACATTTTACATGTTGTTTAAATTGAAGTGTCGCTTGGACATAATGTAACATTTACAAGAGGAAAAGATGGAATTTTGTTTAAACTGTATTGCTTAGAAAAACAAAACAATACTCAAATAAAACAGTTCATTGAATGGTTTTAAAACGTTTTTGTCACAGAGTTTTCTGTCTCATGGTTCAAGTCAGATAACCAGTGCAGAGCCTGGAGATGGCTGTGGTTCGACATTATCTTTTTACAGCTGATTGTTGATATTTTTGCACTACAGATTGTGAAACTATACTTATCTGACACCAGACACATAACACGCATGATGCTGACAATCTGTGTTTCTGCTCATGCTCTTCCTAAGTCTTTTTCGAGACTCTTGTTTTTCAAAAGGCAACATGCTGTGCGTACAAACTGTCATCTAACAGGAAAAATGTCCAGGTGTTCCCGCTGTGTCTATATCCTATACGTGTGAATGTGAGTGTCATTTGTCACTACCTATTTGTATGCTTTTATTGTCTGTCCATAGCTTTCATGTGCCTTGTATTTATTCTTATGTGTGCCTTTCATCTATTCGTGTAATATTATATTTTATTATAATGTTATGTTCATTGCGTCTTTGAGTTTTTAGAAAAGCGCTATACAAGTCTCATGTATTATCATTGTGAAGCACTTTGGCAAACCCTCTGTTTTTAAAATGTGCTATATAAATAAAGTGGATTGGATTGGATTGGATTTGTGTTAAGTAATGTCAACCTGTCCAACCTGCTTATTGGGGTCTAGCCCCCCCACAACCCTGCAAAGAACAAAAGGTGGTACTACACAAGCACTAAAAAAAACATTAGTCAAAGTTGAATCTGTGCAACAGGAAAAGTCAATCATTTGTAAGGAAGGCGTGTGGTGCAGTGGGTTGTGCGTTGGTGTTTGGATCAGGGGGTCACAGGTTCAACCCCCACTGCAGTCAGCATGTCGTTGTGTCCCTGGGCATGACACTTCACCCCAAATTGCTCCTGTGGGGATTGCCCACAGTATTGAGTATGTAAGTCACTTTGGATAAAAGTGTCTAACAAGTGACATGTAATGTAATGTAAGAACCCCTCCCCTCCCCACAAACAACAGAAAAAAATGCAGCACCAATGGCAAATAGGCCAAGTATAAAAAAAATAATTAGACTCTAGGATTAACAGGCAATTTAACCAAAGTGCAGTTTCAATTGAGCATTAAATGAAGGTCAGATAGAGTGTATGGAAACAGCAAAGGCCAAGAAGATGTTGACATCTCAAATACCGAAGGTGACCTTTATCTCTGTGTCTGTCACTTAATAGGACACATTAAAACTGTAGCCTACTATGAAGAAAGGTTAATTGACTAAATTAATCCCGATCAGCAGGAGGGTTTCCATGCAGTCACAGTCATGTCACCTCATTGTACCCCACAGAGGGGACCACATGCTGCAGTAATAAATAGCCCAGGGAAACCGTACGTGTAGTTTTTCTATTAGAAGACAGCAGCGCACATGGTGGAAGAGGCTCAGCCACTCCTGGTGCCGACCCTCCCCCAGCCCCCACTCCCCCTTCCTCTTCCTGAATGGAGGATCACGCCTCCTCGGTCCACGCCTCCCTTTCTGCCTCATCCTCCTCTCTGCCTCTTCATCAGAACCCGCTGCAGCCTCTCGGTTCTTTATTGCACTTTGATTGAATCCATCTCGATCTGTGCAGCGCTGCGTTCAGGAGCCTCAACATTTAAACCTCTTTACTTTGCTTCTGCTTTGTTTGACCCACCGGCTCCTTGCACACCACCTCTCTGCCTGCCTAGAACATTGTGTCCTTTGTGGGGGAAAATGACTGCAAAGCATCGCAAAGGGAAGAACAACTACAAACATGAAGATAACTTTTTCAAAAACGATGTCACGGAGACAGAAGTTCGCGGTGGGGGGAACAACATCGCTCTCCACTTGGTTTTATTCCTGATGATAGTAATATGCGGTGCTACTGGCTCATGGTTCTGTTTCCAGCAGCACCAAACGTTAACCTACTTAACAGACAATCTCATGGGCATGCAGATGAAAATAGTGAAGCTACAGTCGTCCCACGAAGATATGAGACAGTCAAATAACCAGGTAAGTAATTGAAAGTTGCTTTGAGAATGTGGTAGTCACCTGAGTTTGCAGCCATTCACAGAGCAACACGCCTCCTTCCATAGTCTAAAAATATCCTGTCATGAAAACACTAGAGATCTCTTCTAATTTCCACAAGAAAAGGCCCCAGCACACTGCTTCTTAGAAGTAAGGAAAGTGCAGGCCTTATATCAGATTTCAAAATGTCAACAGCTTGACTGCTGTGAGTAGCCCACGTCGCTGCTATTTCTAACATCCACACAGCTGCCGACGTTTGTAATGAGGATTATTCCTGACCTACTCCTGCAGGGACTTGATCTCACACTCATACAGAAAATCAAAAGTGATCTGCTTTTATAATTCAAGTAAAACATGCTTTCAGAGCTGTATAGAGGATGCTGCCTGTGGTGGAAATTCCACACTTAATCACCTTCTGGTAAGAAAAGAACAAAGATACAAGCTTAAACCAAAAAATTGTTATTTAATAAAGAGTTATAGCATTTAACAGAATCAATTTATTTCCAGCTGGAAGGACAGATAACCCTGCAACAATGTGTACTAAAGAAATCTGACCAAGTTACACAGAAAAGCAATGACTTTATACAGGGAAGAGACACAGGAAGAGTATTCATTCAGCTAGGTCATTTCATTACAGTCTTAAGAAAGGTGGGGGGCAGACAGAAGGGGAAGTATAGCATGGTAATTACAACCCTAACATTCATATGATAATTGCCTGACAATGGTCAAGGCGACACCCTTCTGCCTGAGAACATTTTGTAGTTATGAAACCTCTATATATATATATATTGAATTATTATAAATTCCCATGACACTGCCAACATTAAAAGAAACAACAGTAGTGTGCCAGGATTACATTTAGTCTGTGGTTTTGATTCTGCACACCAGATACTGTTAAAAGGCAGTGTTCCACCTGAGTTTCTGAGATTACACATTGTTATTTTAAATACTTTGTTGGTTTCCTATACTTTTAAATATCTGTAAAATGAACTGACCACTGCAAACAGAGGTTCATGGCTGCCTTGAGTTGTATTTCACTCCACCTGTGTTTCCCAACCATGTTGAAGTTGCTCCAGGCAGAATTATTTTAACTTTTTAATAAAGCAGTTAAACAAAACAATACGATCCACCCACTCCCTTCTTCTCTTATGCAACACTTGACGTTCCGGTAATTTAATGTGGCAAAAAGTTTGCATGAGAGCAGCTTTGCTAGCTCAGTCTTGTTACACACATACTTCCTGAATCAGCAGTTAATTGTTTTTTTGTGACTCATACATTTGCTGATGCAGAAGCAAAGTTATAAAACACAATACTAATTGGCTAACAGGAAAATACTGTACGTAACTGAAAAAAACACCTCTTCAGTTTGTCACCTGCAACTTTTTGCAAGTAACTATAGTTTTATGTTCTGTCCAGGCAGGTTGGTTAGATTCTGATATTGGTTTAACTAGTTAGATAATCCTGGACAGTTTCTGGGTAGTTACTCTCTTGGAGCATTTGATTGCTTGACCATGACTGTGATTTAATGAGAACAAATTAGAATTTGAACAGAAACAAATGATTCCTAAAAACACTTTAAGGTAGGAGCAATGCAGTTTTTGTAAGTGCATTATTATAATAATATAGCATTTGAATATAAAGTAATTTTGGCATCTTAGAGGTCTGGTACTTTTATATAATTTTCATAGTGTTGGGGCCCATTTATACAGTAGATGGAGACTGCACCATCTCAGGGAGAGTGATGGTTACTCCAAGTGGCCATTTTGACTCAACATCCCTCCTGTATGTCTCTTTACAGCAGCAAGCCTCAGAGAACATGGAGATCCGCCTGAATGCCCTGGAGGACTCCTACGCACTGGCCCAGAAACAGGCGGGCATGGCCTTGGCTACAGCTGAGCAGCTCAGGACGTCCGACCTCCCCACTCAGGTGATGTCTCTCCACACTGAGATGAAGAACCGCCTGGCGGAGATGCAGCAGGCCACCGTGTCCCTGGAGCAGCTTAGCCAGTTGCAGAGCATACTGAGAGGCAAGAGCGAGGAGTTTGAGGTGGTCAGGATCCAGGTGGAGGGCCTGTCCACGCTGAGTGACCAACTGTCCCAGAAGGTGGAAGGCTTGACGGGGAGCATGGGAGAGGCCGAGTCGAAACTGGATGAGGTTGCCACGCTGAGTGCCAGCATGGACGGACAGACGGCCGAGGTGCAGATGCTGAAGCAGCAGCTGGAGAACTACCAGGCTCAGCTGGAAGCCAGCACTCTGGAGATGGCTAATGTCAGGTAGGAAAAAATCTGCTGCTTTTTGGAGCAGTGGAGAAAATAGCTCACCTCCTCTGACCCATGACTTTATGTTGACTTTGACAAAGCCCTGTTGTCGTCCACTGTCTCTGTGTTACTCCAGACCTGAGTCTGTAGGCCTCATGTTCACATTGTAAGATTGTCCTGATTTGTATAAACATCTCTATTATAATGATTTTTGAAGCTGAAAGGTTTGCATAACATTTGTTTGCAGAGTGAGCTCTCTTTGAAGCTCATGTAAAAAAAAAAAACGAATGGAAATGTGGTTCACAGGCTGTTGTTGCACACTAGAAAAGCTATGTAATGAAGCTATCTGTGTCTATTTTAACAATAAGTGTTCAGGCTTCAAGGGACTTCACAATACTTTATTATGTTATTTCTTCTGACATTTCTTTCCCCACAACTGAAAACAATTGAAATGGAGATCTTAACTTAAAACCTCTCACTGTGTCTTCTGTCTTTCAGAGGGTTGATCGAGAATGAACAGCTCCAGCAGGGCAGCGTGGAGGAACAGATCGATACGGTACGTCAGAGTCTGCAGGATCAAAACTCAGCTGCAGAACATACAGGAGCAGGTTACCTAGGAAACCAACTCACAAGCGAATCATATTCGCCCTGATAATCAGACTGAATCGCTAGCGTGACAGTGTTCTCATGTCAGGCAATTGGTTTCGCAGCAAGATATGCAGGAAGATTATATTGACATTTTTAATCCCTCCCACAAAACTCTGATTGGTCGATTTATCATACTTAAACTGGTTATAATATCTCACGATACAAAGACATTCCTAAATTGCTGAACAAATCTATGATACGTAGGGTTGTTTAGAGGCCTGTAACCAGGCTTAAGATATGTCTCGTATATAAAGATGTGTAAGCCTTATTAGGCTTTAAAAAAAGTTTGAAAATGTAAAGTTTAAGAAGCCGTTTATACTGTCGAATATCTCTAATTGCAGAGCATGCATGAGCACACAAACTGTCAGCACACATGGTCTCCTTACTATTTCTGTTCACTGTGTGCCCAAAGGGAACTCTAATGAGTTTCATCTCATTAATTTGAAGAAGCTAATTGCCTGGCATGGTATCTCCGAGGGATTCACATCTACACTTACCTTCATACAGTATACTGTAGATTATAGTTTTGTTTGTCATTTTTTCATATACTGTTTATAGAGACACCTGGATGTCCAAGTAGCACACTTGTAAATTATTGTGACATGATTGAGGTGCAGACTGTGGTCTTCTAAAAACTCATATGATGTATTTGATTGCTTTCCATTGCTGTAGCCTGTGGAAGAAACAGTGGAAGAAACAGTGGAAGAGGTAGCTCCCGCAGTCGAGGAAGAGGCAGCTCCCGCAGTCGAGGAAGAGGCAGCTCCCACAGTCGAGGAAGAGGCAGCTCCCACAGTCGAGGAAGAGGCAGCTCCCGCAGTCGAGGAAGAGGCAGCTGCAGCACCTGAAGAAGTGGAGGAACTTCCTGCAGATGTAGAAGAAGAGGCATCCAATACTGAGGCAGAAGGAGCAGGAGAGGAAAGCGAAGAAGAGGCAGCTGCACAGGAAGTAGCCCCTGTGGAGCAGGAGGACTCTGTGACAGATGAGGCTGAGGAAGAGGAGGCTGCTGCCTTATCAGAAAAGACGGAAGAGGAAGAGTCTGTAGAGGAGACCCAGGAAGCAGAAGAGGTGGTGTCTGAAGGAGATGGGGGACTGGAAGAGAAGGAAGTGTTAGAAGAAGAGGAAGAGGAAGAACAGCAGGATGTAGCAGCTGAAGAGGAGGCGGAAGAGACGGATGAAGAAGAGGAGCCATTAGAAAATGATGCTTCACCAGAAGATGAATGTAAGTGAAATTATAGTGAGAAAACTTCTAGTACAAAAAAAATGTGTGATATAACTCATTATTTCTTGTTTTTTCCTGTTTTACAGAGTGCATATCGCCGGAAAGGAGAACATTTCCACACAGGACATATCAAGAAAGGAGAATGGCAACTTTTCTCAGTACAAAATCACAGTCAACAATAGGACAGATACTGTAGAAGGCATTATTGATTGCTGTTGTTTTGGTGCAGTTTTCATTACATGGTTGCTCTTTGAAAGGCAGACCTCAGTCAGAAGAAATTAGTCACTACGCTGGACCTCAAAACATGAGTTTGGAAATGGGTAATTCAGGGTGTTCCTGCCAATAACAACCTCAGAAGCCTTAATCCATCAAATAATGACTTATCTTTCTACAGAGCCTTTTCCACTTTTCATCAATCACACTTTTTGTCAAGTTTAGTATCTGTAGTAAACTGGAAAACTCAAAGCCAGTGCCATAAGAAGAAGTTACTGCCTAAACTGTTTGTCAATGCACTTGAAGCCATAAGTAATGCCTGTTTTTGTTACAGTAACTATAAATGTATCCCAGTTGTTTACACAGACAACATGGGCAACTAAAGAGCTAACGGAAAAAAAAAAAAGCATCTTTGATGAGATAAACAAGAACTATTCCTGTCTTTAAAATATAGGACAAACTGTAGTTGATAGATTTTTTTTTACTTTTGAAAGTACTGTGTTTCAGTGCTTTAAAAACTGGAGGTTTGCTTTGAACCAGCACTTTCCTTTAACTGATTACACCCAGACACCTGTAGTTTGTAATATACAGTGGTCTTAAAGTCCTCTACCAAGAACTATTTCAGTAACATCATCCTACTGCTTTCTTACTTTTTATTCAGATTCTAATTTCTCTTCAGACTATGCATCATGTAATGCTGTTGTGAGCCACAATACAAACAGAGATTATATGCATTATTGTCCCTTTTAATAATGTTTGGGAAAAAAGCAGTTTTCTGTAACTATTAAAAGAGCTTTAGGAATAAACTGCTCTCCAGGATTAAAGATTGTGGCACATAACGGCATCTAAATCTTGTGTGGCATTGAAATACACACTGAGGTAGACTCACAAATGGTTAGTTGTAATCAAAACAACACCAATAAGAACTAAAATCATCACTGTTGGTACCAATAAGTTAACATTGCAGCTGCAAATGTAGAGCTTGTGTGTGAAGACAGCCACATGACAAGTTAGAGCAAGCCAACAGAAGGACTGCCTAACACTGCAGAGTCATGTTGGACGTTTAAGGAGAAGAAACTTGGATCGAAACGTCACCAGATCTGAACTCGGCTGAACATGTCTGGGAACAATAGAAACAAACAAAGGACAACACATAAGGTCTCATCACAAGACTCAAGGTCTCTAATATGCTCTGAAGACAACTGGATAATGTGAATTCTCAAATAAGGCAGAAAGAATGTGATTAGGGCAAATAATAGACATATCAACTAATAATGATATCTAATGTGTTGTTTTAAAATTACCTCTTTGGAGACATGACAAATGTGTACATAGTCATGCTTCAAACATGTGTAATGTGTTTCTGTAGCCATTCTGTAAGTTCTTGGTATTATCATAAGACCTGGGCGCCACTGTACAATTTGCTGAGACTTTTCACTTTTACAAAATGCAGTTTTTGCCAATACATTGGTTACTGTCAGTATGAGATTCATGTTTTTAAAATAAACCTTGGTTCTTTGAGTTTTGTATACTTGATTCTGTGCTGTTGTACCATACAAAATGAATATTGATCATATTACATTAACAGAAATTGGAGCTGGATGTCTTTAGGGCCAAAGCCTGATATAGCTCAACCCTAAGTGTTAAAGAGTTCAGGTTGTATCCAAAAATCTATTTAAACACAACATTGATTTATTGCGATGAAAATGCTCACTATACCAGCCAGCCCAAAGACGAAAATAGTCCCTAACAAATGAAGTATTTATTCCTGTTTATGTGTTTTATGTGCATACATTTTGGAAGGAAACAATCTTTCAAGTGTAGAATTATGTGCAACACATTTTGTTTTAGGGGTAACCGTAATTTGCACTGTTTTGCAGCTGTTTGCAACCTACATATCCCCCAAAGAACAGATGCCAGCTTTACATTTCTTGTTTGACTGAATAGGTCGGTGCCCCCTTGCACTCTGCAGGGAAGATAGTTATGTCATCACATGACCAAAGCATGTGTCGTGCATGCTACTTGAGCCCTCAATGTGTGTTTGACTGAATGAATGAATAACTGGGCTTTCTAGGTTTCACCATGCTGTGACAGAAGGAGATTGCAACACACTAACATGGGAATATAACATACAACTTATATAAATAAAACAAAATGGTTGCATGCCAATAAAACATGCCACTTAATAGAGTTTTTAAAGTACATGTTCACTTGTAATACAAAAGCAAAATTGCACAGAAAATGTGCCGCTTTTAAGCATTTGAGCACTGATCTAAAAAAAAAAAAGGCCTGTTGTCTAAGTTGTCAGTTTTGTAACTGACTTGTTCAATCTTGACTAAAACAGTCTTCAACATGCATCTTTGAAGCCGCCCTGTTATGGTTTTGGGAGGTTTCTCTTCCCTGTGGTGTGTCATATAGGTTGTTGTGCATGTAATTGGTCTGCAAAGGCTAAAAACTAAAAGTTCCTTCCAGAACGAGTTTCTCTCCCACACACTCCCCTCCTGCCTGAAACACCTCCATTGGATTCCTTTGTTTTCTTAATAATAATAATAATAATAATACATTACATTTATAAAGCGCTTTTCCTGGTGCTCAAAGCGCTTACAAGCAAGTAAAACAAAAATAACAACAAAAGTAGAAAGTGCAAAATCATTTATATTAATGCAGTTCTCACATGACATCCATCCTTTCATGGATCCGGAAACAGGAAGAGATTGAATGATCATGTTTTAGTTCATCATCCGTGGGCCGGTAGACCAACTAAACCAATGGAAAACTGAGTAAATAAGCTCAAAAAGTATATTAAAATCAGTTACTTTCTGTACCTATAAAAGAAAAAGTAAAATAATTAAGAATCTTTAGTTGTGCATGATTCTGATTTGAGTGTGTGTGTGTGTGTGTGTGTGTGTGTGTGTGTGTGTGTGTGTGTGTGTGTGTGTGTCAAGTAACAAATGTGTGGTATATATAAATACGATATATTTTATTATTTACTATATATATATTATACTCTTTTTATTCAAGCAATTGTTCAATGTGTGAAAAATCTCGGCACACGCATACCAATGAAACTACACTCTTCAAAAATACCTTTTCAATTCATATTTACATTACAAACTAAAGTCAAACTAAATGGAAGAAAGCGTTTTTTGTGACCTGGTTAACGTGAGGGAGGAAAGTGAGGGTGGGGTCGAGGATGATGCCAAGGTTACGGATGTGAGTGGAGGGGTTGACAATGGAGCCATCGATGGTAAAATCTTGGGTTGAGCTTTAAGGTCGGCTGACCAGCTGCTGCTGATAGTGCCCAAGACCAGGCTTAAAACCAGAGGGCACCGAGCCTTCGCAGCAGCTGGCCCTAGGCTCTGGAACACTCTGCCCCTCCATGTGAGGTCGGCCCAGACCCTAGGGGTTTTTAAATCTACTCTTAAGACACACTTCTTCTCTCTGGCCTTTTAGTCAGAGCGGAGCACGACTCCTGACTTTTCCCTGTGTTTTTTATATATCTGTTGTAATTTATTGTCTTTTATTGTGATTGTAGTAATGTGTTTTTATTACATGTACAGCACTTTGGCTCGACCAAAAATCGCTTTTAAATGTGCTTTATAAATAAAACTTGATTTGATTTGATTTAAGTGAGTTAAGTAACATAGTGACATCACTATGTACCACTTGCGCTTCTATTGGCCAACGCTCCAACAAATTGTACGTGATAGGCCAAGGCGTGGGCATTTCCGACAGCCAGCTAACCAATCAGAGCAGACTGGGCTCTGGTTTCAGACAGATGGTGAAAAGAGGTAAACATGTCACAGAAAAAGCACAAAATACAAATATGAACCTGAAAATTAGCCCCTTTAAGTCTTTCCATCGGTCAAAGCTGAATGAAGGTGGTTACGGCATGGAAACAATGTAAAATAAACATAATTGTTTTAATTAATGGGCAAAACTGTTTGTAAGTTCAGTAAGTAACTACATACAAATTGGCAAAACAATCTCTTGAATCACTAAAATGCAGTAAAGCTACAAGAAAGCTACTGCAAATTGTAATTACTACCCAACACTAATTATTAAATATTACCACAATCAACATTGTGTTTGCTGCACATGTTTTCAACTGAACCAAAGTGTGTACTGCATACTGTTAGCTTGCTTGCAATAGACATTGGCAGACAGAGGGTCTAAATCGATTGTATGCACATCAGTCAGATGGACAGGAAGTCTCTCCCTCCCTCTCTCTCTCCACTCGCCGGTAACAGTCATTGTGTTCAGCCTCTCCCACTCAGCACTGCTGCAGTATCCCTGCTCCTCACTCTCTGACCTTCCACAGGCACCATGCAAGCATTTGTTCCAAGGTAAGTTTCAGAAGGACTGAGTCATGCTGTTATATTTCAAAATCTTTATTTTCAGCCTGCCAAGAATACACTGTTTTGGCATCGCTCCTGGTCCTCATGTTTGTCATCTTAATGTGTGGGAACTATTCTCTGTGTAGGTGCTGTGGGCCTGTTTGAACTGATGTAATGGGAGCCTGTAGTTTACTTTAGGGGCTGTGAATTAGTCACACTCATGATTAGCTTTTTTATGTACATAAGTAATTATTGGCTCAGGGATATTATTCTTAGCAACCATTTTAGCATATTTATTACTAACATTCTTTATCAAGTTTGCTTAAGAGGAGAATTTGCCTAAACGCAACTCATCTGCTGTGGATCTGTTTGGGAGCTAGCTTATTGTGGGGTATTTTACTGTGTCATTTTGTGGGATCACCCTATATACTATGGCCATATGCTATGCTTTCTACATTAGCTTTGAGCAGCTCGCTGACTCTCAGGCAGGATTCAGGGTGACTCCAGCCCTGAGAGATCAATAGCAGTAAAGCGTAGCAGAGCAGGGCGGTCAGCTCTCTGTGTAAAACATGAGCCTCTCCACTGATGCTTGCTCAGCTCTTTCTGTGTGTGTGTTAAGCCTCTTGGGGAAATCGAGCTGAGGTCTTGAGGACACGATGAAAATGCATTTTCAAAACCTCTTGCCTCTATAATTTGATCTACTTCCTGTTGAAATTAGATGTTGAGATGGTGCATAATGCGGGGGGAATCTATTAGAGTGTAAACCAGCTGGGTGTTACACCAGCATAAGGCACAATTAAGGAGACTCAGCAGGAGGTTGAGGATTGTGGCTGCTGGGCATTTTATTGCATTTTTAATAATAAAGATGTACCTGGTATATTATAAATTGTTCACAATCTTAAAAATGTTGTATAGCGTTATATCAATCAACACACTAAGGCTGTATTTACAACTTAGCATAGTGGTCAACTGCCACAAGGACATATATATATATATGTAAGACTTATACACATACATATCGACTTTAACCAGTCCTTATATAATCTAATTGTGTGGCTTGTCTCAAAGAGGATCGCTTATTTTTAAAATGTCAACAGTTTTTATTATGTCTAACACATTTAGCAAATGAGGTATAAGTGAGCCTAGTAGTTAGAAATCAAAATCAGAATACCTTTATTAGTCCCACAGAAGGGAAATGTACGTTGTTACAGCAGAAAAAGAGCCAAAGACAGCTTAATGTTACGTAGAAGCATGCATACAAAAGTATTAAAGTAAAAAAAAAAGTTACAATATAATAAGAAATAGAATAAAATTAAATAAAAGTTACACAATTTACAAAATACACATCCTGTAACAGTTCTTAGGATTTAGCAGCCAGGTATATATTGCAGTTATTAACAACATATATATATATATATTGCACATATTGAACATAGTTGAAAGTGTTTCACTTTCAAGTATTTTTGGAGCTATAGTTAATAATTTTCACAATTAATATGCATATGTATTTTGGATTGGGTTTGACTTATAATATTATTCAGGTCCAATTAGTATCTTACTCATTACGGTTGCTCCATTTCATTTGATAACACCATTGTTGATTTTAACAAGCCACAGCACTGTAAAACTTTAAAAAATAGTTTGATTGATAAGGATTATAGGGTTTGTCTCTGTCTGCTGTATTTGCCCTGAACAGAAATTGTATACTGTCTTCTGTTCTTTTGTATATTTATTTGACAGTGCCCCGTTAAAGTGCTATTATTTGAATTACATTACCCATTATTTTTGTACCCACCCAGGTCATACCTGACCCCGGTGAGGGATGAAGAAGCGGAGTCTCAGAGGAAAGCGAAGTCTCGTCATGCGAGACAGACCCGGAGGTCAACACAGGTAAACAACACGTGACAGAGGCTCAGGTTTTATTGGATTGTGTGTTGGCTGTTGACAGATGAAGCTGTATGACTGCCCTGCAGGGCGTGACTCTGACAGACCTTAAAGAGGCTCAGAAGACCACCGGAGCGTCTCCAGCTGAGAGACAGACAGAGGAAGGGATCTGTCTGAGGAAAGGCTCTTCCGATGACAGGAGGGTCAGAATCAGCCCGACAGAATCCACGGGAACAGAGATCAGTACGAAATGGAGCAAAATGGACGATGTTAGTAAAAGGAATTTGTGAATATAGGCTT